TAGAACAATCAACGCGGAATTTAGAATTAGGCTAGAGTTTATGGATGGTCAAAAGCCATTTTGTTTGGTCATCGGACCATTTTTAGCAAGTAAAATAGAGCATAACTTTTTTTTGTAGAAAATACAAAATTTCCACAAATCCGCTAATATTTTCAATCCTGGCGAAAACACAAATGAACGAAAATTCTTCTGACCGTTACATTGATGCCCATATCCATGGTATCGCATATATAGCAAAATTTATACAATATGATATATCAACAAGTAAGCAAAGGCTATAGTCTTGCGGGGCCGACCATGTGATACCCTACAACTCTAAAATATGTTAGAAGTCCTTTTAGCCCAATTTAATTTTGAAAGATTTCGTTTTCGAAATTATGTCACGGAGCACTGCCCAGATATTACCCATAGCATTTTGACCAGGAACATTTGCCCAATATTTACGCACTCTGTTATGCTGTTAGTTGTTGTGGTCCATTTTTCAGCTAAATATAATTTAATGGTCATTCAAAATACTAGAATTCTTCCCTGTCCTTAATTCTGTTCTCAGGCGTGTCGATTGGTTTCAATTGTGTGATCAGGCATTTTTTTCTGCTTTTGGTTCATTTGAACCTCTAAATATTTTGCAATCATCTCCAAAAGCAAGAAAACCCTCTGTATGTCCAAATTTAGACTCATCTGTATAATTTTCTTGTCTACGATATTTGGCTATATTCGTCAACGAAATCAGCATAAAAAAGCGAGAAATTTGCTTTTTGTGTATTTCGGATATCGCCCGTAGGTAATGCTGGTATTTTTTCACACAAAATTTGTGGTCCATTGTACCCGCTGTCCTAAACTCTAACTTTTTGCGAGATTTCGTGTCCTTTGGTTTCTATTTGTGACCTTTATAACGGCTGCAAAATCTGGAAAATTTTTAGTTGTAGGTCCATTTCATCCCCCTAATATATTGCGGACATCTTTGAAAACAATAGGCTTAGCCCTTCTGTCAATTTTGTGAAAATTTTCGTGAAGATCGGACGATAATTGCAATCTGTATGCAATAACCCCAACCCGTGTTGTAAGGTGAAAAAAAAATACAAAATGTACACTTCAATATTATAAGTCAAATTGAAAAAATCGCATGCGATAAAAAATAAAAAAAAAATTCACAAAATAATACAAAATCTATACTTACACCATTATTGGCATCTTTTTATTCTTTAATGCCAGGAGCGCATTCAGAATTGACAAAATTTGTCAAAATCGGTCCAGCCATTCTTGAGATATGAGCACTCTAGATAACATCCCCTTCCTTTGTTTATACACATTGTATATATTTCGCTATATATATCCGATATATTTACCATCGGCATCTACGTTACGGTCAGAATTGACCTGTTCCTCTATTTGCGATTTCGCCGGGATTAAAAATATTCGCGGTTTAATTTAAAATTTGACTTTTATTTAGCACAAATGTTATGGTCTATTTCACCCACTAAACATTACCCGATGACCATCAAAATTGGAAGGCTTATACTCAGCCCTAAGCTCTAGCGCCAAGCTAAGTTCCGCGTTGATTAGTCTATAATTGCGAACTGTAGAGCAACTGCAAAATCAGGAAAATTTTCAGTTTTTGGTCCATTTCAACCCCTATATATTATGAGATCATCTCCAAAAGAAATAGGTTTATATTCCGACCTTAACCCCACCTCCATGTTCAATTTCGTGAGGATCGGACCATAACTGCGACCTGTACATTGTGTTGTAAAGTATAATAAAGAGATGTTAGTTAGACCGTTTATAACTCAAGAGCGGCTGGACAGATTTTGACAATTCTCACAAATTCGGAATGGCTTTTTGCCCGAAAAGGATAAAATCTAATACAAAAGCGAATATTTTTTGTATTTTTTTTTTCATTTTTTTATCGCATGCGATTTTTTTTAATTTGTTTTACAAAATTGAATTGCACTTTATTGGCCAATATCAACTCAAATGGACTCAAATTTGACAATTCCAACGAAATTCGAACTAAGAGCAAGTGTAGTTTCCATAAATATGTTTCATCCGATTTGGTGTTAAAGTCCCTCACATGCGTTATATGCACTCCAAAACATACCGGTCATCAGATGCTGCACGAAAATACATCTGCCAAATTTTATCGATATTGGTTCAGATTTTTATATACCTTCGATTTACATCTTCATCCGATTTTACGGTTTTTGCTTACCATATATATAATATCAGCCATAATGAATATATTTTTTCATATTCAACCGAATTTTATTATTTGGTGAAACTCGGTCCGGTATATCTATTTCTCCAATATATACAGGGTGAGATGAAAAAACTTCAACCAACTTGAGACTGCTGTCATTTCGAAGCCACCCGGCCGACAGTTGTTAAAATTATTCCAGTGACAGTTCATTATATTATTTACAAGCGTACAAAAGCATTTTGGTGAGAATTTTCTAGAAAAAGTTATTCGTGATGGAATTCAAGCGTGATATTGTGATTTTTTTTATTTTTGGCTAAAAACCAAAAGTGGCGATCGATAGAGCACTCCAGCATTTAAATGTGAATAAATATTTTGTGTTTCGTACCATCGCTCGTTACCGTCATACTGGTAGCGTAACCCGACGTCAAGGAAGTGGACGGAAGAAAACAGCATCAGAAAAATTTTGGTCGCAGACCTTGGACATTCCAAGAGGACTCAGCAACATCGCACTTAGCAGGTGCCACCCAAGAATGGTTACAAAATGAGGTTCCTCGCTTCATTTCCAGTGCATAATGGCTGCCAAAATCTCCGGATACCAATCCGTTCGACTATAGTGTCTGGAGTATTTTGGAAAGCAAGGTTGGCACTAAAAAATACCAAAGTGGCGATAACCTCAAGCAGCGCTTCGTCGGGAATGGGTCGCAGAGCAACATTCGGGCAGCGTGTGACGGTTTCATTGGCCGTTTTTCGTGCAAAAGGTGACCAATTCGAACAAATCTACATCTATTCTAAAATTTGATGTTATTTACTAAATTTTTTGCTTTCATTCAATAAGATTTAAAAAAATATGTAAAAATTATGGCGTTTGACTTTGTTGCGGTTTTTTTTATCTAACCCTGTATTTTTATACCCTCAGCCATATGGCTACAGAGGGTATATATCATTTGATACGGTCAAAACGTGCCTAGTCGAAATAACGGTTTTAGACGCTAGGTCTCTTTGGACCAAATCCGTTTCAGAACATTTGGAGTCGATCTAGCGATGTCCGTCCGTCCCTCTGTCTGTCTGGCTGGCTGGTGCGCACGATAACTCCCGAAGGGAGTATCCAATTTGGTCCAAACTTGGTACATCGTAATATTTTTGTCAAACTTAGATCGAGTTCGGAGATGGGCAATATCGGCCCACTCCTTCTGGTACCTCCCCCACAAAAGTTCGAAATTTTCAAAAAATTTATTTTTTGCGCAGAAAGAGAAATTATAGTCCGACTTTGCTCCAAATTTGCAAATCCTAATATTTGCATCAGTGTGAGGTCGGGTGTGAAAATGGAAAATATCGGTCCACTCCATCAAGTACCTCCCCCACAAATGGTAAAAATTTTGAATAATTACAACTCTCATAAAATGTGATGTAAGTGTCCGATTGTCTTAAAATTTTACACATCTCAATATTTATATTAACCCAAGGTCTGGTGTTAAGATGGAATATATCGGTACACTCCTTCTGCTAACTTCCCCACAAATGGTCGAAATTTTCAAAAAAATGTATTATTTGCACAGAAAGAGAAAGGATAATCCGATTTTGCTTTAATTTTGCAAATCCTAATATTTGCATCAGTTCTACGTTAGGTGTAAAAATAGACAATATCGGTTCACTCCTTCAAGTACCTCCCCCACACCCAGAGAAAAAATGACAACATCCGTGTATGAAATGACCACATCCGTGTATGATAGTGTATCAACCACGTTTGGTGTCAAAATGAGCACGCTGTTGTCATTTTGACACCGAGATTTTGGCAACGATTTCAACAACAGATGTGCATGAAATGAGCACATACGTGGTCATTTCGAGCACGCCCCGTTGTCAGATTGTCAACGCTTCGTTGTCAGATCGTCAACGCTTCGTTGTCAGATTGTCAACGCTCCGTTGTCGGATTGTCAACGCCCGTTGTCAGATTGAAATCAATGGTGGTCATTTTTTGATATCCGTTCCTTTTCCATTTTATACCCTTAGTAGAAGAAACGACATTTTTTGAAAAGTATTTTATTGAACGAAACCAATTACATAAATTCAATATAAATACATATTTGATTTAACAAAACAATTCGAATTACATATATTCAATGTATAGAAACAAATTAAATTAACTTAAATCTGAAATAAACTTTTCCATTATTCATAGGATATAAGTGAAATGGGTAAGTAATAAAATCTAAAATTGGTATTAAAAAAATTGTATCCTCATTCAGAGAACCAACTTCATACGATTGTAAATGGTAATCAAAGTTTTTAACTTTTACTTGGTTACATAAAATGTAAACATTTTCATTTTCAATTATTAAATGTTTAATTTTGAAAAGTTCAATTGCGGCATTATTTGTTGCTAAATAATAGTTTTTTTTATACCTAGTTCCCTTAAAAAAAATGTCATCAGACACTTTGCAATTTTGGTAATTTAAAACTGGCTTACTTTTTTTGTAACAATATTCCTCTTTTGCCAAATCTTCGATGGTATGCGTATTAATGATAACATTTGGTTCTAAGTTATCTTCGTGTTTTAATAAAAAATTGGAAAATTTCAATCCAGACTTAATAGATAATGAACGACAGGGATTTACTCTTGATGTAGTATTTCCTAAATAGGCTTTTGCTTCCTTGTGTTTAGCTTCGAATCTCATGCTCCAGAGATATTTAAGGGGACCACATTTTCGGATAGCTGTGGGATAGTGGACAAGAAAGTGGTGTTTCGGTTTTAACGAACCGTATAATATAATATAATAAAAATCCATGGAATTTGGCAGGCATTTGGATATTTTAAAGAAAGTGCATGAAAAATTTTAAAACATGTATCTAAACATTCGAGGAACGATTGAAATTTTAACAAATTGTGGTTAAAAAAAACATAAAAACCTTTTATATTGAAATCGGACAAACCCTCCACAATTATAAATGGCTGTATAGTTAATCCAGCATTGTAATACTTTTCAGTGACTGTATCAATTTGCCTTTTATAATCGTTAATTGTCGGTAGTCGCAGTACGAAACTTTCCTGCGAATCAGCTATTGTTACTTTTTTTCGTAATTTACCGTTTCCACATTTAAACCTAGCAGGTGATGGTAAAACTGAATTCAACAGTATTGCGTATATATAATCTTGAGCATCTGCAACCGAAATATAAAATAAATATTACTTTTAATGTTTATGATAAATCAGGAATTAAAATTTACCTATGCTGCTTGCCGTCAAAACATTTGCGAAGAGTTGTTTGCAATGTTCGTTATGAATATTTTTCCCATAATAATTGTAAATTTTTTTCTTAAATTGGTCCCATTTAGAAAGTAGAAGATTGCCTTTCTGTGGATACATAATATCGAAATCAATGTTGACCTAAAACGAAACATTAGTATCCATATACAAATAAATAGCTCATGGCTACTTACCAATTCTGAAGCTCTTGCATCGGACAACTTCGTCCATTCAAGGAGAAATGTATGGCTACTTAAATTTTTTATATCTCTTTGCCGTATGTTAAAAGATCTTTTCCATTTTTCGCAGATCGATCCCCAATCATTACATTCTCTTAGTAAGGAAGCTTTCAATGAATTTTCAACTGATTCATCAATTTCGGGAACATCTTTGTTACAAAAATTAGGAGATGTGTGAGTTGCTGCTTTGCTTGTGCTAGGCTCGGAAATCAAAAGCTTTATTCTTTTGGACTTCTTGTTTCTATACTTGGCATAAAGTTTTCCGCTTGCGTTGTTCTTTCCTTTTCTTGAAATGTAATAATAATCCTAAAAATAAAGACATATTATAAGTTAAGAAACTACATAATCAGATACGTTGTTTATATTGTTAATCTTACCCTCATTTCGTTTTCAAGAGGAAAAACGGAACAAATTTCATCCAATATGCGCATATAGTCTTGAGTGTAAAGAGTAACATTGTTGGTTAAAATATCTTCAATAATTATATTAATTATATCATCTCTTTGCTCGTCACTTAATTTCTTATTAACGCTACTACATTCAAGCGCTAGTTTCCCCTTCGAGGTATGTGTTAACAATTCCGTTAGATCCTATATTAAATAAAAAAACTACATTAACTATGCTTACACAAATATTACTCTTACCTTACCTCTGACAAAATTCCTTTGGCTTTTGAGCAGTTCGAACCTGTAGTGTCGGGAGTACCAGGAGTACTTGCAGGTGTCTCGTTGCGTTTCCACCATTCACCTATTTTAGATGGAACTGACATAGTTTCGTCATCAATCCCGAGCTATTGTTATGACAATATTAATACTGAGTTCAACTCTGTAAAACAAATAATACGTACCTTTCGTTTTTTCCAAGCAAAGAGCTTTTCTCTGAATTCAACACGAAGTCCCAATGGTGGCACTGCTTCCTTTAAATCTTCTTTTTTCAAGTACTGCAAGCTGCGAAATGTTACATGTGATGCTAAAAGAACAAAAAAGAAAATTCTTTGTTAATTACACTGATTAACTGAAAAATTCATTTTTATTTACTTACCTTTTAATTGTTCAAAAAGCGACTCCATATTTATTCCTTTTAAGAACTCCCTTAACATATAATCGTCCTCATTGTTTTCCGCATCTTGACTGCTGCAATGGTTTGTATCGCGAACCACAACAATATTGCCATCGATTTCTAACAACTCACCAATGATATTTTGAGGATCTTGCGAATTATTATTCATTTTCAATAAATTTTTTGCACAATGCGTCCTTTCTCTTTCAATAACACGGAAAAAATGGTAAATATGCAGCCGATTGCACACGAGTAAAAAAAATGACAACGGTGGTGCATGATTCATACACGGTAGTTGCTAAAATGGCAACGATCGTGTACGATTCATGCACGTCGGTGTACAAAGTAACAACGGTGGTGCATCATTATGCAGGTGGTGGTGCATAATTCATACACGACCGGTGTCATATTGACAACGACCGTGTGTGAATCATGCACCACCGTTGTCATTTTTTACTCGTGTGTAATCGGCTGCAATTACCAATATTACAAATGGACAAATTAAGCACGGCTGTTGTTGGTACCGAAAGTTGACCACGTCTCGGTGTCAATTTGAGCACGTTCGTGCACAATTCACCAACAGCCGTTGTTGAAAAATATAACAACGGGTCGTTGCGAAAATGACAACATACGTGCTTGATTTCGCAACGGGATTTTTCCCTCAGTGCACAAATGTTCAAAATTTTGAATAATTACAATTCTCATAAAATGTGATGTATGAGTCCGATTGTCTTCGAATGGCGCACATCCCAATATTTATATTAACCCAAGCTCTGGTGTTAAGATGGAATATATCGGTACACTCCTTCTGCTAACTTCCCCACAAATGGTCGAAATTTTCAAAAAAATGTATTATTTGCACAGAAAGAGAAAGGATAATCCGATTTAGCTTTAATTTTGCAAATCCTAATATTTGCATCTGTGCTAGGTCAGGTGGAAAAAAGGACAATATCGGTTCACTCCTTCAAGTACCTCCCCCACAAATGTTCAAAATTTTGAACAATTACAACTCTCAAAAAATGTAATAGAAGAGTCCGATTCTCTTCAAATTTCACACATCCCAATCATTTTATTAGCCCAAGGTCTGGTGTTAAGATGAAGTATATCGGTCCACATCTTATGGTACCTCCCCCACATATGGTCGAAATTTTGAGATATATATTTTCTGCACAGAAAGGAAGCAATAATCTAATTTTGAAAAACATAACGCTCAAAGAAAGCGAAATAAGGATTCAACTCTTATCAAATTTCACACATTCAAATTATTTTTGCAAACACCAGATCTGTTTTGAAGATGATCCTATATATCTGCGAACACCTTCTGGTACCTCACCCACAACAACATTTTTCAATATTTTTATCTGTCATTAATTGCGAAACAACTCTGTGATTCTTTACAATTGCTATATCCATCTGCTATAATAATATGTATATCATATTTATGTAGGTCCGATACGAAATTGACAATATTGACCCATTCTTTAAAAACCCACTCCATAGAGGGTGAAGAGGGCTGAGGGTATACATCTGTCGGCAAAGCCGACCGATTCTTTTTTACTTGTTTTAATATAATCCTTATCGAAGTCATATCATGCACTATACAGCAATTTTATTTGGTACTGGAGGTATAAAAGCCTCCGTCAAATTTGTTGAAAATCGATTCAGGATTGGATATAGTTCCCAAATTGCCACTACTCTAAAGCCTTGTTACTCATTCAAATAAGTGTTATTATGATCTACTTCACAAAAATTCACAATATTTTTATTACGAGACCTGGGCCTCAATTCTCGGTCTATGAAAATGTGAAATGAAAACTATTACATGGGAAAGACATGTCAAATGAAAAAATTTATAAAGAAAATATTTTTCATTTAAAAATTTTATAGAACAAGAATCCATCCCCTGTTCTTAATACGCTTAGTGGTGTAGGGTATCATATAGTCTGCCCTGCCCGACTTTTGACCTTCTCTTACAATTGTTAAGACTTCGCCACTATAGCTCTGATTATCGTCAAAAAAAAAAAAAAAAAAAAAAAAAAAAAAAAAAAAAAAAAAAAAAAACCTTAGGTTAAAGGAAACATTAGAACTCATTGTGACCCACAAATACCAATTTTTAGACATATTCGTGGGAAAATGTCGCAAAAATCATCAAAATATCAAATATCGGGATGTACCGCTATAAAGGGCTATACAAAAACGTGAACCTATACATACAATGTTTCGACAATGGAGCTAAAGCCCATTATGTCCAACAAATACCCATTTTTAGACAAATCCATGAAAAAATGTGGCAAAAATCATCAAAATATCAAAAATCGGGAGGTAAAGTTATATGGGGACTATACCAAAAAGTGGACGGATATATCTCATTTTCAATACCAATCATCCTAGACACAATACAAAATTGTTCTGCTAAATTTTGACGCTCTACGTCAAATAATGTGGGCTGTATCGTGATTTCAACAGACAGACGGGAGGACAGACAGACAGACGGACATCTTTAAATCGACTTAGAATTTTATGCTGATTATAAATATATACACTATATGGGGTCTACGACGATTAATTAGGGATGTTACAAACGGAATGACAAAGTTAATATACCCTCCTTTCCAAGCTGGAGGGTATAAAAACTTTTGGGACAAAATTACCTTAAAGTATATTTTTCACTTTGCCTAATTATTAATTTAAAATATTTCCCATCCGCCAGGTATTCCCATTTAATTACTTTCAACAATAAACAAATGGGTCAAAACATTAATTTTTTCTCAAAATATTGTTGACGCCAAGAAAACTCCTGGAGTTCAGTTTTTTTTTTTTTTCTCCAAAAAACTCTTCAAAATTCTACTGTCACAATATCCCGTAGCCAGCCAACTATGCTTAGAAAGAATATCACCAGCCATACTATGTATTTGTATGTGTGTGAGCAAGTGTCTCTCCGTTGAAAGCAGGCCGGAACATCAAGTTCAATTTTTCTAATCGCTTTTTAAGCACTTTGGAAAATTGCCATTTGCTGCTATCAGCGAATGCTTTCAAAGCTATCAAAGAATAGCAATGGTAGTCGCACTGATCCCTATCGACCGACCTGTTACAAAACCAAAAAAATGCAAAAAAAAAACTCTCCAACCGAAAAACACACCAAGAATTATCTTTGGTTCTCATTTCAATTCTTTGAATGTGTGCGTATTTGTTTGTAAGTGTGTTTGTATTTGTGCGGGGAAGGGGGGTCAGTGAAAGTCTATTTGTAGCAACAAATTCATATACACTTTCCGAGGACATTTCCAATGAAAACAAACCTAACGGTCATTTCCATTGGTTGTACCAACCAATGAGGTCTGTACTTTCTAAGAATACTTGTTTCGGTTTAAGAGGATTGTTTTCTTTTATCCGAAAACTGAGTGGTTGGTGGTGTGTTAAGTTCGAGGAAATTGGAAAAACATATCATGAATGTCATAATTGATTTTTCGGGATATTGGGATCTGAAATGGAATTGTATATCTAGTGTAAAAATATGAAGGTGGGAAGTGTGTCTTCTTACAGTGTTTAACTGTAACTATTACCTTTAAGTAAATATTCGTGGAACCAATTCAAAAAATACGAACAATACTCAGGTTGGAATAATCTTTCCGAAAAACATATACAATTTGAGGGAGTTAAAAATTACAATCCCATCTCCCTAAAAATAAAGATAAGTTAAAAAGTATCAGTCGGTTTTCCCGACAGATGTATGTCCTCAGCCAATGTCCGCTTATTTTAAAATATTTTGACTTCCATTATAGTTATTCAAAATTTTGACCCATTATGGGGTAGGTTCCGAAGGAGTGGGCCAATATTGTATGTGACACAAGCCTGACATTAATAATATTAGCGTGCCAGGCTATGTCGACTTCTATCTTTATTTAAATGAGAATTTTTGAAAAATATGGTAGGACGAAGAATTCTAGGAACGAAGAATTAAATATATAGCTAAAACCAGCAAGGAAGGTCGAAAGTCGGGCGGAGCCGAATATATGATACCCTACACCACTATACGTTTATAGTAGATTTCCAATAACAAAAAACTATGAGCCCTATTTGTATGCGTATCATGGCTTTAGAGTCGTAACATTTTGGGAGCCATATCCAATTCTGAATCGATTTTCAAAAAATTTGTCGGAGGCTTTTTGTAAATATACCGGATTCAGTTTCACCAAATGGAAAATTCGGTTGAAAATGAAAAAAATCTATCCAATTTGGGCTGATATTACCTACATGCCAGAAATAACCGTAAAATCGGATGAAGATGTATATCGAAGCTATAAATATCTGAACCGATCTCACTAAAACCTAGCAGAGGTATTTTCGAGCTATATCCGGTGTCAAATATGATTGTTGTGGAGGGCATATTAGACATGTGAGGGACTTTAACACCAAATCGGACAAAACATTTATATGGGAACTACACAATAAACCTATTTATCGGATAAATATTTATATATAAATGAGATCCGATCTCTGTAAAATTTGACCGAGGTATTTTTGAGCTCCATTAGTTATCTTGTACCAAATACCATTGTTGTAGAGTGAATATTACGAAAGCGAGGTATTTAAACATCAAATCGGATAAAACATATATATGGGACCTATAGCTATATCTGAACCAATTCTCACCAATTTTGATGTGGTCGGAAGCCCCAAAATTTACTCCATTTGGACACATTTTAACCATCTGGTGCACAATACAGTTTAAGATGAAAAAAAGTGCAAACAACTTCAGACTGCTGTCATTTCTAAGCCATTCGTCCGACAGCTGTTAAAATTATACCAGTGACAGCTCATTATATTGCATACAAGTGTACAAAAGCATTTAAGTAGGAATTTTCCAGAAAAAAAAGTTATTCGTGATGGAATTCAAGCGTGATAGTGTGATGTCTTTATATTTGGCTTTAAAACCACAAGTGGCTATAGTTAGGACACTCCAGCATTTAAATGTGAATAAATTTTTGTGTCTCGTACCATCGCTCGTTTACATGATACTGGTAGCGTAGCCCGACGTCAAGGAAGTGGAAGAAAACATCAACATCAGCAGAAATGGTTCGAAAAGTAAAGAAGCGACTTGATCGAAACCCGCTTCGCAGTGGCCGAAAAATGGCTCGAAAGATGAATATATCGCAATATTCAATTCGGCAAATATTGAAAAATGAGCTCGGGTAGAGCCATTGAAATTCCAAAAAGTGCAAGAACTTACACCGCTACAGAAAAAAAATTGACTCAAAAGAGCTATAGAGTTGCTTCGCTTAGCCGAAAGTGGTAAACTGCCGAATTTGGTTTTCTCCGATGAGAAAACATTCGTTGTCCAGCAGTTTGAAAACAAACAAAATGATCGTGTTTACTTGTCAAAGTGGTCAGCTGAAATTGTGCACCTTCGGTTAACCACCAGAACTCAAGCGCCAGCCATGGTGATGGTGTGGGCTACCATAACAACCGATGGTCACTCTCCGCTCGTATTAATCGACCGTGGCATCAGAATAAATGCCGAATATTATTGCGAAAATATTCCTGGAGGGTGTCTCAAAGCCTTGGGCATGCAACAATTTTGGCCGCAGACCTTGGACATTCAAACAGGACTCAGCACCATCGCACTCAGCGACACCCAAGAATGGTTATAAAATG